CTTGGTACACGTCAATCGAAAAATCATGAAGTCTTTCAGCTGTAATTGAAACCGTGACATATTAGGGTTTGAGATTACTGATGTTTAGTGATGACCCGCTACGATCCGGGTTAGAACTGATCTTCAGCAACCATGCTTGTCGTAAGAGGCGACTAAAGGGGATCGGGTGGTCAGGCTCGCTGACTTGATGGACTCTTTTCATTGTATCCAAATTTGGTAGATCGATGCTCTGATGCTCTGTCACTGATTATGTTTGGAAGTCAGTGAGAATAGTCGCCTATTACGACAAGTATGGGATGCTGAATTACCCAATTCTAACCCAGATCTTCACGAGTAAAACCTCCAGTTGGGCCACCATGCAGGTAGAAGAGTCCCCAGGGACATTTGGCCAAGACGTCAAACCGAAGCATTACTAGCAAGATTAAACTTATATATTCTACATTTCATGATACATATAATGGTTAAATGACCCCTGGATATAATGCCATGTTTTGGCCAGAACGGATTTCCTGCCCGCCATAATACCCTTGTTATAATGCCAAACTGGATATGATTCCATGGTTTTTTTTAACAAAAGTCATAATCCCCTGGTTATAATGTCAGTTACATTTGCTTCCATGTAGCATACATGTGTTATCTTATCTGGGATTACATGACTACTTAAAAGCATGAACGACTTTAGGCAATATGTTTGAGTCATGTCAATTAACCAATTAAGGTATGTATACCAAATATATGTAGCCAAAATGTAATGTTCAAAAATCATTGTGATATGGCATTATAACCAATTTGGCATTATAACCAGGGTATCATGTAGGCAGAAAATCGGGCAAGAGCATGGCATTATATCCAGGGTGTCATTATAACCAGGGCATTATATCCATGGTGGCATTATAACCAGGGACATTATAACCAGGGTGGCATTATAACCAGGGCATTATATCCATGGTGGCATTATAACCAGGGACATTATAACCAGGGTGGCATTATAACCAGGGGCATTATAACCAGGGTGGCATTATAACCAGGGGCATTATAACCAGGGTGGCATTATAACCAGGGGCAATATAACCCGGGGCATTATATCTAGGGTGGCATTATAACCAGGGCATTATATCAGGGTGGCATTATAACCAGGGGCATTATATCAGGGTGGCATTATAACCAGGGCATTATCTCCAGGGTGGCATTATAACCAGGGCATTATAACCAGGGTGGCATTATAACCAGGGACATTATAACCAGGGTGGCATTATAACCAGGGCATTATAACAGGATGGCATTATAACCAGGGTGGCATTTTAACCAGGGCATTATAACCCGGGGCATTATATCTGGGATGGCATTATATCCAGGGGCATTGTAACCAGGGTGGCATTATAACCAGGGGCATTATAACCAGGGTGGCATTATAACCAGGGGCATTATAACCAGGGTGGCATTATAACCAGGGGCATTATAACCAGGGTGGCATTATAACCAGGGTGGCATTATAACCAGGTGTGGCATTATAACCAGGGTGGCATTATAAAGCAGGGTATTATATAGGCAGGAAATCTGGCAAGAGCATGGCATTATACCTAGGGTGGCATTATAACCAGGGCATTATAACCAGGGTGCACTGAACATGCCTCATTTGGTTCATTGACGTGACTCAGATTAATTGACCAAACTAAAGTAGTCATGATAACCATGAAAGAATCATGGTTACTAAGCGCAAATGTGACAATACTCTTCCTGCCACCTACACCAAGACCGTGGGAAAATCCAGTTATTCAAGGCTGATTACGGAGACATCAGCTCAATCACCTTGTTGGTTGCTTAGAAGGACCTCTAACTGTCCTACCTGGTTATAGTGCCACTCTGGAAATAATGCCATATTTTTTTTCTTGACAAACCGTGGCATTATAATCAAGGGGATACTCGTGTACTACTACTAATTCTGTATATCTGATAACACTCAAAGACATTTCTGTTAAACATTCATGAATGAAATTTTCAAACCATCGACTGCGATAACACAGTGAATGGTGTAAAGCCGCTTTTAGATACAAAAATGAGCTACAAATATTGTGCCCCTGACGAAAGACAAACTTAACTCTACAGGGTGTGCGGAACAAAACTGTCGCCATTAGTCTACCCAAACACACACACACACACACACACCGCTAATCATGAAACTTTCAACATGAATCGACTGATAACCATGACGATTCCCATTAATATTGAACAATGATCGATTATTGAATTGATAGGCCGTGATTTAATAGTTTACCAGTCACGACAGACAGACACTAATTATGTATCCTCTTTGAGTGCTCTACATTTGTACTAAGCCTCTTACAAGCATGGCTCCAATGACCAATGACCAATGCCAGCTTTATATTCTGCGATGTTAGGTTACTAATATATACTAACTGAAAAATAGTAACTGTGCATAATATGCATTTCAATTGCAAAAAGTTTTTGAAAGGCTATTGTATAAATACTCATGTAGCAAAGCCAGACACTTTGCTGGTGTCCATCGAAACACGATTTCACCTCTATGGAGACGTTTTCAACATGATGGGAAAGGCGAGACTTTGCCGGCCCAGTCCACGCGTGACGTCACGTCAGCAAGACAAATCCACATTCCGGCTGACAGAATGATTCCAGACTGCCAGTTTGGCTGCTCGGACCATTCATGGCTTACGTCCAATCAGTTCCAGGACTGTACGGAACCAACCGGAGGGATCATTAACATCCGGCCCTGACGGCCTGCACTACGTCCAATTTTGCTCCAGCGTCAGGCACGTCTTGCCTGGTTTTGGGCATCATCTACGGTATATATGAGACAAGGTTGGGATGGTGTTTTCTTTGCTGACGAGTCGAGATTTCAACTTCACAGCTCAGATGGCAGGGGCAAAGGTGTACAGACGGCTAGTTGAACCGTTTACGCCGCTTCCGCCATAGTCAGCTGAATTGGGGACGCGTCAAGCCCACAATCGTTAGTTCAGGCACGGAGCAACATTTCCGAAGCTTTCTATCGCTTAGTGTCGTCTATGTGTCATCGTTTTCAAACCTGCATCAATGCAAATGGTTGATTACACACGATACTGAATCTTTGTGAACTGACTTTTGACAGCACATCTCTTCAATGGCGTGTCACGATGCCTAGTGTCAAATCATACATCAATTGTATTCTGCCAACAGGTAAACAGTCATTAAGGAAAACTCCACAACTGTTATTATCTTTTGCATTCAAAATGGCACAACATCAAATAATGCACAGTTTATTCCAGTATGACCAAAGACATAAGATGTGTAAATATTGGCCGTAACATTTGTGGGGCGCAGTAGTGCAGTGGTAGCCGTCTGCCTATCACGCTGAAGGCCCGGGTTCAGGTCCACGGTGGAGGCACCTAAGTTCGGGTCGAGGTGGGCACATTTGCGTAGTACCCTTGGACAAGCTACTTAGATCCACATTGCCTCAGTTCACACAGCTGCAAAATGGGTACCCGTGAGGATGTGCTAGCAATGTGGTTTGTTTAGTTCATAACGCTTAACAGGCAGCATGGCTGTATGATCCCCAGAGCGTTAAAAAGTATCGGAAAGAACGCCAGTGTTCCATGACCGGAGATAGTAATGCACGTAGCGTGGTGAGCAGGCAATGTGCCTGGATATGAGCGCCATATAAGCGGACCATTACTATGACGTTACTGATAGCGTGGTTAGCAACATTAAGCACATTTATACTCACGGCAGCATTCACTTCTAGCTGTGACCTTGACCTTGGTTACTTTGACCTTGACCTGTAGGTCCACTTGCCACCAGGGTCGGAGTCTGCAAACTGAGCCGCGAAGCAGCTGTTACTGCCCCAGGTTGTGCCTGTATTCCCATCGTTTACCGCTTGTGGTGGATGGGTGTTGTACGAACTGGAACTGGCCGGCTTGCTCCAGTGCCAGGTCAGTTTCTTGACCAAAACAAATAAGAACAAACATGACAATATCCGAATGAACTGATGTATTTCGACGTCAGACTCGGGGGCTTGGTTTACACATGTCATCTTATTCCAACGGCCTAGATCGATGCTCATGATGTTAATCATTGGTTAAGACTCGATTATTTACAGACCTGAAGATCACGATCCCGTTAGTCATCTCTTGCGGACAGAATGGGTTACTGAAGACCAGTTCTAATCCGGATCTTAACGGGTCTATAATCACCAGTAGTGAGAGTGATGGTGGGTGAGTGAGTGAGTTTAGGTTTACTAAACCTCACATCTAAATATATAATAAAATCCATCCCCCACAACAACTGAATACCATTTTGTTTGTTTGTTGGCTGGCTGGTTACCGCAGCACTCAGCGTTATTCCAGCTGTATGGCGGCGGTCATTATATAATCGAGTCTGGACCAGACAATCCAGTGATTAACAGCAAGAGCATCAATCTACGCAATTGACATGAGTTAACCAAGTCAGCGAGGCTGACCACTCGATCCCGTTAGTCGCCTCTTATGACAAGCATGGGTTACTAAAGATCAATTCTAACCCGGATCTTCACGGAAGACAAACATGGGTTACTGAAGACCAATTCTAACCCGGATCTTCATGGGACAATAACTCCAGTCGGGACACCTGGCCGGCAGAAGAAGTAGCACGAGTCCCCAGGGACATCTGAACCAAGACGTTTAACTGAAGCATCAGGTATATCGATAATCTGATATCATTAAATAAACATTAACAGCCAATCCCCTTCCCCCATCTTATATTACACGACATGTTTTATCACCTACTGCCCAGCCGAAGAAGCTACAAAGGAAACAAGTGAGGCTGCCTCGACTGTTCCAAATTAAGATCAAGTTCCTAAAGATTCAGCGGGAGCGGTGTTAATATAAGCTATAACAGGTTGGCTGGTGTTTAACACCGTATTCCAGCTGTATGGCGGCGTTCTGTAAATAATCGAGTCTGGATTAGACACTCCAGTAATCAACAGCATGAGAATCGATCTAAGTAATTGGAATACGATGACGTGTGTCAACCAAGTTAGCGAGCCTGATCACCCGATTACGTTAGTTGCTTCTTGCGACAAGCAGGGTTGCTGAAGGCCAGTTCCATAACAGCTTGTTCACCCTATTTCATTTTTTGAATAACAATATATACCCTTAAGCCTCAGCGTGACAAAAGGGTTTTCGAAAAGTTTGCAAAACGCACGCCATTTACTTAGTGAGTGAGTGAGTGAGTAAGGATGTTTTATCACATCGGCAGTATTTCAGCCACATCGTGACTAAAACAAGTTATATATTCATGACACATAAACTCAGAGTATATTAGAAGGTGGAGGAAAGATAGTTAAAAACAACCGTCAACAACTGAAGATAGTGAGTGAGTTAAGATTTTAAGTCACATCGGCAATATTTCAGCCATATCGTGACTACAAACAAGTTATAATTTTACAATGAATAAAGGTAAATTATAAAAACCTGTCAGCAAAGGACAGTAAAATAACTAGTATATCACACACTTCAATCTAAAACTAGTAATTAACACTAAAATACTTTAACTATAGAGGACAACACAATATAAAAACAGGCTATGTATTGCCAACAACTGAAGTTAGATCACCATGCCAGGGACCATGCGGACTTACAGTACTCTTGCTACCTGCACGGACACAACTAAAGATAGAGGTCCATACCAAGGACCTACGGAGCATGGGGTCTTACAGTATGTTTGCTTCCTGCATGGACCCTAGCTGGATTTACATCATCACTGTCTGCGATTGTGTTAACATCAGTTTTTGACGATATGTAGATTGTTTTATATGTTGTATTGTCTATGGGTTTAGATCTGCATTCTGGCTTTACATCTATATCTGTGAGTTTCTGGTTGTTTTTAACGTAGTTCTTCAACATGTTTTTATATTCTCGATTTATATGTGACAAATGCATGACTTGTTTTGGTCACTATATGACTGAAAGACGACCGATGCCATTTGAAATCTTAACTCACTCACCCACTCACTTGTATACGGGTTGCGTAGACAGATGTTCATGGCAGTCACCGCATTGTCTGGTCCAGACTCGATTATTATGTATGGAGTTTTGTTGCTCTTGTTATTTACAGACCCCCTCCATGTAGAAGGAGTATTTCTGAGTGTGACGTTAAACGACAAACAACAAGGAAACTTACCTGTATTAGTTCCATCTACAAAAGAGCATAGAGACGGAGATAGACTCGTTATGAGTAGGGATTCATATGATAGACTCAAGAGATACCAGAATATGATCACAACAGTGATAAAACTGATCCATTATGTTCAAACAAATCAGGTCTTAAGCAAAATGGAATTTTTAAAGGAGTTTTGGACAGCCATGAGGAACATAGGACTTCTGGTCCAGACACGATTATTGTGTAGAGAGTCATTATTTACAGACTGCCTTCATATTGGTGGGGGCGGTGGGTAGCCTAGTGGTTAAAGCGTTGGCTCGTCACGCCGAAGACCCGGGTTCGAATCCCCACATGGGTACAATGTGTGAAGCCCATTTCTGGTGTCCCCGCCGTGATGTTGCTGGAATATTGCTAAAGCGGCGTAAAACCAAACTCAGTCAGTCATATTGGTGGAGTATATAGAGTGTGGCGTTAAACGACAAACAGTAATTAAACTGACCTGTTTTTGTTCCATCGACAAACAGCAATATCACGTAAGAGATGAACAGCAACATGTCCCGACTCTGAAACACCAACTGTTTTATCCGAGCCAAAGCCGACACAATGTGACGAACCTGTAGCTGAAAAGCCACATATCCCTATTGATTTTCACATGCATCGAAGACTCTTAAACTCTGGCTCAGTATGTTTAAGTCAGCATGTATATGTAGTGTCTTATTGCTTCCGTATCATCCCGTTGGGTTTGTTCCTACAAGTTGGTGCCTTGCACAATGAGCCCATGTTTGTGGAAGTGGAGAGAGTTTTGTCTCTATGTTTACTAGAAGTGAGCATACGTAATGTCGTATCTGTATTGTGTGTTGTTTAATGCGTCAGAACACACTACTAGGTTGACCTAATGGAAGGCCTTCTAGGCAGAGTTATTGGTTGATAGCATTCATTATCAAGTATGAAGGAATACTAACCATTATTTGGAATTTGGGACTCATTAAACGCCTTCCATGAATAAGCCTACTATATATTTCTATAGCTGACACTGGGTACGGTCATACTGACCTTTGTCGATTTTATTCATGCGCTGATCCAAAGAATCCAACGTCCAGTAAACGTTTTGTGCTACACTGTACTTGTGGTATGTAGTCGAGTTACAATAGTGTTTGTCTTATAACAATATCCGGTAGGAGGCAACAGTGGAGTTGTAGCCAGGATCTTTTATGTGGAGCTTTTCTCCGAGCTGGATGTCGTCTCTTTTGTTTACTAGAAATGAGCATTCGTGATGTCGTATGTGTATTATGTGTTATTTAATGCTTGAGAATACTGTTATACATCGATGTGGAATAAAAACGATAAACAAAATCAGTGAAGAATCATCTAGGTTTTAAGTGAAACTAAACCCCTTGAAATTCACGGGTGAGACATGTCCATTGTACAGGTTTATGTATTGAAGAAGTGTCAAAGTACAATAGTCACAATGCCACACTGAAGACAAGCTGCCATCATTGTAACTGGAATATTGACTGCATAACTCACATCTGAAAGATTTGGACAAAGCTTGACATCAAGCAGGACGTTGTCAGTTAGGCTGTTTCAGAGAACAAGCTAGTTTTACCCGTGAACAACCGGGTTAGAATGGACAGGCGACTAACGGGATCGGGTGGTCAGGCTTGCCGATTTAGCTGACACATAACATCATATCCCAATTGAGTAGATCGATGCTCATGTTCTTGATCACTGGATTATGTGGTCCAGATTCGACAGCCAGATTATACTGCAGCTGGTTTATAGCTGTGCGCCGCTATCCATTCAACCAACCAACAAACAAATGTGATTCAATTGGCGTTAGAGATTGATTTCATTGTCTATTCAACAAATATGTACTGGACTTCCCATCATCTGTTCATAATTATATAGTATCATCATGAGTAACTGCAACACATTGTCACCATGTTTTATCTATCGATGTATATCCTGTGTAATCCAGAGGTGAGGTGAAATTGGGTTTTAACGTCGCTCATATGACGACGTGCATGCGTGTGTATGTGTATTTGCGGCTGCTTGTACTAGCCCAGACTGAAGCTGGTTTTATAGTGCTAGCCCACTGAGATACCATGTCGCAGTGAAGCATGAATACCCAACTCAGACACATTATACCGACTCCGAGCCGACCAGTCCCTGATGTACCCATTAATGCCGAGCGCCAGACAGGGACCAACAAGTACCATATTTTAACGTCTTTTGGTATGACGCGGTCGGGGATCGAACCCGCGACCTTCCGCTCTCCGGGCGGACGCTCTAACCACTACACCACGAAGGCGGTCTGTGTAATCCAGATATTGACTTGGAATGGCTTAATGGAAGCCTTTCAATAAACACTTAATGGTTAATAGTATTGAAAATTACGAACACATTTGGGTCTCGTTAAATGCCTTCCAAGCCTACTACATATTGCTGTAGCTGACACGATCATACTGACCAGGTCGATTTTATTGATGCGCTGAATAATACAACGTCCAGTAAACTGGTACTACATTGTACTTGTGGAATGTATTCGAATTAGAATGGTATTTCTCCTATAACAATATCCGGTAGAATGGCAACAGTGAAGATGTAACCAGGTTCTTTAGTCTGGAGCTTCTCTCAAGGCTGGAACAAACAACATCAAAATACGTCTAACGGCCTTTAATACTGACAAACAGGTACTTGACAAACGTATTGTAAGCAACCCCGAGTGTCTGGGAGCGCAGTCACCCCTGACCTATCTTGTTGTATTCTCGCCGTCTTTTGGCCTCCATGTGTTTCCTCCATATGTCTTAAGACCCGAGAAGATCCGGGTTAGAATTGGTGTTCAGTAACTCATTTTTGTCGTAAGAGGCGACTAACGGGATTGGGTGGTCAAGCTCGCTCACTTCGTTGACACATTTCATCGTATACCAGATGCGTAGATCGTGCGGTTGATCACTGGATTATCTGGTCCGCACTCGATAATTTACAGAATGCCGCCATAATGCTGGAATATTGCTGAGCGCAACGTTAATAAACAAACCAACCAACTACCCAAGAATGGTTACAAAATGCCTGCCAATGTTGAAAATTACCTAAAGAATATCCGAATGATTGATGACATGAAATTTGCATAAGGCGTATACAAGATCCGTCAGCGGCAGCATGTACAACCCACCGTAAAGACCCGTGTCACGGCTGGCCTTCAGCAACCAAGGCTAGTAAGAAGTGACTAGCGGGAACGTGTTCAGGCTTGTTAGCTTGGTTGATATATGACGTTGCATCTTGATGGGTGCTCACATCAGTCAGTAGATTTCATGTCAAGACACTATAAAGGCCCCTATCATACATCCCGAGTATTGCAGGGGCGGCGATAAACAACGACCATTTCATTTTGTGCTTCGGCTTACCTTATTAAATGAACTTTTATTCAGAGCAGTACATAAAAAGAATATCACGAAGACAAGAACAAGAAATAGTTACTCTGGAACGCAGACAGTTTGTACCTAAAATGACCGGGTAATGACCATAAATAGGTTTGTCAGTCTGGACTGGTGTGTGTCGTCATCATCGGTGGGAACAACTCCGTGAAAATCAAAAGAGGCTCACTGGAAAGTCAGAAGAGGCTCCGTGAAACTGGGAAGAGCTTTGCGACAAACATGGAGACACATTCAAAGATGCTTCGCCAAAAGATCAAAAGCGACATGCGTCATAAAAACACTTTTATGCATTACGTCACACTGAACTGACGTCACTTTTCGTCAGCCCTCTTGTAAATAAACGTACATTTGGTAACCGACGTCATGATGCATGTCAGTTTTCATCGCCTCGTACAGTCCCCTACAGCAAACTACTCCGTAGCATCCCGTTACTTGGTTTGCTGTTGCTTCATCACTGGTAGAAACATTGCGCTGGACCTTTTTTAAGGTCTCGGCTCGATTAACAATTAAACAGCGACATGGCAGTGGTCACTAAGTCTATTAAACAAATCCGACAATCCATCCGTGGAATGTCGCGTGATCAGTCAACTTAATCTGGATTTACTGTTCTAAACTTACATTGTCAGTAGACGTGCGACGTTCACATTGCCCAGCGTGGTTTACGATAACCGCAGACGTAACTAAAATAATATGGAGAAGATATTTAACCCGAACGTAAACCGTCCTCAAAGCATGCACAGTGCACTACAACTAACACAGAATGATGTAGGCCTCTTGACTACCTTTTCAGTTTATCATTAAAGTCATAACCACATGTTATAAATGACGTCACTTCCCTCTGTTCAAAATACCACTACAATACTATTAGTTTGTACCAGTACACTTGCACGCGCTTACTGGAGTGCTGTCACAAAGAAAACTTGCAATTGCAGCCCCGGTCTACGGACACTGCCATTGGTCAGCTTTGAACCAGTCAGCAGAAACTCACGGTAACCGTTCGCGAGTTATTGGCGTGAATATTATTCTTGATAGGTTGTTATGAATCCTGACTCAGCAAAGGAGTTTCGAGTTTTATTTGCACACACTGAAGCATCCTTGATACACGTAACTGTCCCATTGGACGTCATCCTGAAGAGAGGGACTTATCTCCCCTTGAAGCAGTTCACACACTGTGGCCGGTAGGTGTCTGATGTTGAACCCCGTGCAGGACTCCGAGCGTTCACATGCAGCAGCACAAGCTGCGGTATTGCCGATTCCTTCGCTGATGGTCTTCAGTGGAGTCTTGGTGGAATGTTGTGTATATTGAACGAGGGATGCGCCTGGAACAAGAATGAGTGACTATGGTTTAATACCGCTTAAAACAATATTCCATACCAGAAATAAGTGAGCAAGTGAGTTTAATTTTACGCCACTTTTAGCAATATTTCGGCAATAGCACAGCGGAGAACACCAGAAATGGACTTCCACATTGTACACCTGCGGTGAATCGATCCTCGCCCTGCAGACCGAACTCTTTAACCATTAGGCTACCCTCAACATACTGCCTGGAAGAAATACATTGTTTCTAATTGAACGTCAAACAGATTAATCAAAATATTAAGTTTCTTTCACCAACGAATCAACCATGACGTTGTTCCAGCGAGTGCTCTGACCAATCAGATCTCAGATCACCGTCCTTCTCTTCAATTAAACACATTTAAGATGTCAGCTGGAAACGTCAGACTTTGTCTTCTCACGAACGAAAGCCTCACAACTGTAAAACATGTTTTGACTTGAAGTTTGTTAATACCTTTACCTATATGCGACTTACATGAATCGAAATGTGTAGATATTGCCTCTCCGAACACCTGTGCGTCGCAAAATTGGAGCAGGTCTTGATGATTTAATTTGTTTTTACCGCTGATCCTGACAAAGCGACCAGTGACAGGTCTTGAGCAGGTAACGGTAACAGTCTCCCCTGGGCGTGACACGCTACCGGAGTAGAAGTAGCATAATTTGGGGGCAGAGTGTTGGTTGGAAGGTTGTTCTTGGTACACGTCAATCGAAAAATCATGAAGTCTTTCAGCTGCAATTGAAACCGTGCCATTTTAGGTTTGAGATTACTGATGTTTAGCTATGCCCTATCATCTGTCATGCTTGTCGTAAGAGGCGAATAACAGGATCGGGGTACAGACTCGCTGACTTGATGTAACAGTTTTAACAAGCACATACACCAATATATTTCTTTGTGTTTGCATTTGTACTCAGCCTCACCGCCCTATCCCTAAGTCGTTTCTACGACAAGCATGGATCCAGTGGCCAACGCCAGCCTCATCTTCTCCGGCATTATGTTACTATTTTATCATCCAAAACTGTGTTCCACAGGAGATATTGCTTGTGTGAGATCATACGGTATTTTCTAGGAGATATCATTTTGACAGTAGATTTTGTACAATGCCCTGACAAATGCTGTGACGTCATGAACTGGATGACGTCACAATGCTATGACATCGCTGCACTACAAGTCTAATGGTAGTTGAGTCTTCAGAGATGTACATTTTTCATTGAAAACTAATGAAGAAGGATTTTTGATAATAAATAGAATCTCACCCTCGTGTCTTCTGATATCAAATATATCAACACTCGTTGATAAAAGTGAAATTATCCTCGGCAAGCCTCGGATATTTGTAACTTTATCAACTCGTGGAGATATATTTGACATCAGAAAACACTCGGGTGAGATTCTCTATATATCACCAAAGAATCAAGATGGGTAAATATGGGCCGTAACGTTACTGATAGCATGGTTAGCAAGATTAAATACATTTATACGCACGGCAGCAGTCACTTCTAGCTGTGACCTTGACCTTGGTTACTTTGACCTTGACCTGTAGGTCCACTTGCCACCAGGGGTCGTAGTCTGATAACTGAACTGCGAAACAGCTGCTACTGCTCCAATTTGTGGCAGTATTCCCATCGTTTACCGCTTGTGGTGGATGGTTGATGTGCGAACTGGAACTGGCCGGCTTGCCCAGTGCCAGGTCAGTTTCTTGACCAAAGAACAAACATGACAATATCTGAATGAACTGATGGAATCTATTTCAACGTCAGACTCGCAGACATGGTTGGCATCCAAATTCGGTAAATCAATGCGCATGTTGTTGATCACTGGGTTACCTAGTCCAGACTCAATTATTTACAGACCGCCGCCATATAGCTGGGATATTTTGGAGTGGGCGTGCGGCGTTGAACAACCAACAAACTAGGAAACAAACCATGGCAGACGGAGATAGACTCGTTATGAGTCGGGATTCATGTGACAGACTCAAGATATACCAAAATATAATCACAACAGTGATAAAACTGATCTTGACTCCATTATTGTTTTACAAATCAGGTCTTCAGCAAAATGGACTCTTCAAAGGAGTTTTAGACAGCCCCGAAGAACATAGGGCTTCTGGTCCAGACTCCTATTTGCTCCTAATTTTACAGATCGCTTTCATGTGGCTGGAGTATTTCTGAGAGTGGCGTTAAACGACAAACAATATAAAATTAAACTGACCTGCTTTAGTTCCATCCAGAAGCCACAAAATAAAGTAAGAGATGAACAGCAACATGTCCCGAAATACCAATCGTTATCCGAGTCAAAGCCGACACAATGTCACGAACATGTAGCTGAAAAGCAACATCATTACTATTGATTTTCACATATACCAAAGATTCTTACAGGCTCAATAAGTTAAAGTATACATGTATATGTACTACCAGATACTTATCTCAAACATGTATATGTTACCTGCCGCAAGTAAAGCTTCAGCAAGGTGTCGGTTTTATATCAGAAAGGCTTAGATGTGTCCAATGAGAATACGTTCACTAAATATTCAAATCAGATGTATGTAATGTACTCAAGGTAATCAGTGTTCTAAATGTGATAATACCGCATCTTCATGACAGGACAATAGCTCTCTGTTAGTTGAACGCATTAGACTCACGATGCAGTACGAGATTAAAGGAAATCGTTTTCCAAAACATTAGCCATTAGCTTTTTGTGAATTTGCGCCTTTGTCAGAAAATCAACACATTACCAGCTAATGCATCCTTTTTGTTTACTCTGATTTTCCTTTCACAAACTATGATGAATATGACACTTGTGTTCTCGATCAAAGAGCTTGAGTTACTCCGGATAAGTGTGTGTTTAATGGAATGGAATAGCTTTGCTTTTCTTTCTGACAAGTTCTTTTGTGTTCCTTCAGCCCATCCAAGGGTTCTGGTGGTTGTAGCCCTTTTACGGCCATTTTTGCTTGAAGTAGAACAGTTCTCAAAAGGCATTCTCCCTGCCAGTTTCAGTACCAGTGCGGAAGTATCTCCTTTCGGATGAAACTTGAATTGGTTATAAAGAAATTGTAATCCCTTTCTGTTTTAAGTCTCTTTTAAACATACCCTTGATAAAAATAAATAAATTGACAGCTGTTTAAGCAGCTCATGTGTTCCCAAGGCAACTTGGGTTCAGGGCAGGGTTAGCTCATAAACCGTCCACTGTTCCTGACACGGGAGCTTGTAACACATCAAAAATGGATACTATGAATATATAGCCCCTGATGGGGATTTAATTGTATATGAAAGAAAAGGAGTGTGGACTTATATTTCATTTATAGTCAATCAGATCGCTGGCTCTTTTCAGTGCCGGGTATATCATGACAATGGCGAACGGTGACGACACAGGCCTGTTAGCCATGAATACTGTACATAAACCCATTATGGCAATTAGATGTGTGTCTCGGAAAGAATGGTGATGGAGTGCCACCAATCCAGTGTGCTTTAGTTCGTGTCTAGTATGAACACAATGAAATAAACAAGTAATTCGGTAAGTTAATTCTGTGCAGAGATTTTGGCCTGGAATAAAAAGTCACGATTTTGTTGAGCTTCCCATCGCCCTAGTTCCAACAGTACTGTTTCGATTCTAGTGATATATGTCTCGTATTGTAGGTACGTATATAGACTTGAAATTAGTGCAGAGTTGTCAAAATATCTATAATGAAATATTTCAGCATGTGTTACCATCCACGGACTTGCACTAAACTTTCAACATATTGTGAAGCACCAATGTGCACCAATCAACAACCAAGGACCTAAAAGGTGCATGCTTAATTATAACCAGTAAAAATAAGTGTACTATTAGTTTATATTCAAATGTAAATATCTGAATCAATTGTAAGTGAAATTATTGATACCAACAACTTCTAACCATAAGTCTAATTATACTTTCACCATTTGCATAAACTCAGACTAAATAAAACTTTCAACACATTTTTTTGTAATTTATTCATTTTATCTTTTTTAAAAAGTAGGGGAACTTCATTTTTAATGTACAATTGAAAAAAATTGGATGATATATCGTAGTCAATCAATGTTGGTATGATAATAATGAATGTTTTGAGAGTGCATCACCACTTGCACTTCCTTATGACCAAAGTTGCTTGTACAGTAATCGCTCTTGAAAGATGATTGGTGTATGACGTGAAAATTTGCATGTGTACGATTTTCACTCAGTAGTGTGTGATTCCACCACAAATGGTCAGACATTCATTCAGACGAGGAGGGATACTGAGTATGAGTCTCTCAGTGACCAATTGGGGGAGTTTGTTCCATTCTTCCTGAAGCGCACGGCCAAGTTCATCCAGAGTAGTCGGCGGCCCTATGACGTCTCCCTATCATTTCCCAGACGTGTTCAATAGGGGAAAGATCAGTCCTCGTTGCTGGTCATGGCAAACGATAGATGTTGTGGTGCTGGTGGTGATTATTGACAATACGTGCACGGTGAGCACGGGCGTTGTCATCCAGAATGACGAAATGGCGACCAAAATGCCAGGCAGATGGGACAACAAAGGGTGTCAATATGTTGCCCCGGTTGTACTGTCCTGTGACCCTTCCTTATACAACATGAAGAGGGCTTCGGTCAGTCATAGTGAAACCATCCATACCATAAGTGACCCACCTCCAAATCGATCGTAAGGCCTCGCGTTGATGGTGGCGTGACGTTCATTTCTTCGTCGCCAGACCCGACCACGTCCGTCAAGGAAGTCCAAAGTGAATCTATACTCATCCGAAAACATGACACGTGACCAACGATGGTTCCGCCAGTGTCTATGTGACCCGCACCATTCTCGTCTTACAGCCATGTGACAATCAGTCAAGGGTAGCACAACCCGGGGGAGGTCAAGCATGCAAGTGAGCTGCATGAAGGCGATTCCTAATCATCTGACCCGTAGCTCGAACACCAGTTGTCTGATACAGATTTGCCGTTACGACTCGATTTCTTAAAGCCTGGTTCCGAATGAAACGACCCTGTACTCTTGTTGTTGACCCTGGATGGCCTGACGGGGTCGATCGTCATCATTTTCGGTTTGCTGATATCTGTTCCAAAGTTTGCTAATGACTGACTTCGAAACGTTGAAAGTATTTGCCACTTCATGCTGGGTGGTGCCTGTATGCAACATGCCAATTGCACGTAAACGTTCATCACGTTGCAGACGCCGCTTTGCAAATTCAAACAAAAAGTAAGTCTAGAAACAAACACTAACAAATGTGTTAACAATGGTCTACAGTGATTTATCGACCTTCTTGAAAACCGTCAAAATCAAGAATGACACCCCATGCACGTGTATGGGGCTTCTGCGTGGTGCACGTGCATCCTGTACGTTGTGTTTAGGGGTGGTGATCAAGAGAAATGGTGGTGGGTTCACAAGATGTCAGTCTTTGAAAGGTTTGTTAACGCTTATACTTCCTATCCAAACTGAAAGTTCAGGGTCCCCCAATATTTTTTAAGAGTGTTTGTAAAACCAAGTATATCTAACCTAGTAGTGCATTGCTTGCTTTGGATAAAGTCCAAATTTAACATTGAACATAAGGAAAGACTGTAGACCAATATACATGTATGTTCATAGCTGAATAGACACTGATCTTATCATCTTTACATACATATATTCTCTTGGAGGTGTTATAAACATGCAATTGTTAATCTAAATTATTGATTACATGTGACATGTGACCTATACTTTGAAAAAATGTGCAAATAAAAAAATATTTAAAGGAGAATAAATTATGCATAATTATGTTTTAATCGCGAAAACAGTTTCTGTAAATCTCAGCTTCGGCCATTATGCATACTTCGCTGGAACCCACGTGACCTTTCCGCTCGTGACGTCAAATGTGCCTGGAGTCCGCCATATTGCCAAAGACCAAGCGCTACAGTAGTACAAATCGTGTTGTTTCTGTCGTTTTTGTAAATAGTACGATGGTGTATTCTGTTGCCTGGGGAACTGCAATCACATTGCAAAAATATAATTCTTAGGGACTGGTCATATACTTATAGGGGTGGGTTTGCTGGTTGGAACTGTATCACATTTTGCTGTCAAATAGTATTCTTGTTAAATGATATGGCATTTTTTAAAATTTATTTTGAACTCAAGCGGTGCCTCCGTTTCGCTTGATTCTTCTTCTTCATCTTCACTGGGAGATTGTCTGGCAAGATGTAAAATCCGATCGTATTGATACGGTCTAACATCTATTTCAGAAATGACATCAGGAACACCTTTTACTGCTTCAGAATCCATGGACACTGTTAAGTTGTGAGGTAAAATCAAAGAGGCAGCCATCAACAACAGGCACATATGACGTCATGTCACGTGATACATCTCTGCTCATAAACTGTCGGGTATTTCCGTAAAAGGCGGAAATACGAGTGCGTTTTTGGTGCTTTTATTGCTATTTTACAAACTTTTTGTTCAATTTTAATCACGGAAGGTGACTTTTTAATATCCTTTACATTATATCAAAAGTTTTGTTTTCGTTCGGATTCTCCTTTAAAAAAGTGTATCTAACCTGTAAGTCACCAATTCAAAATCCTCCTGCCATGACCTTTTAGCCACCTTGCCAGGTTGGGAGAAAAACAGCAAGTGAACAAAACGTCACCCTTTCCTTATGCATCAACATTCAATCAAAATATCGCACATTGTCAGCCAATGAAAACCAGGGACAAGACAGCAGACCTGACCTCATTAAGATTTGGCTATTTTGCATAGGAACTACTTTTGACCCATGACCCCATTGGCTATGAATAAATCATTGATTTGTGAAAATATATACCTTTTTGCTGACAATTGTATTATTGATTAAGGCGTTATGAAATTATCACAAACAGGCATATAAGACAAGAGGTATCAAAACGGATTATTTTTCAAGATCATTTTACATTTTTTTATTCTGTACATGATACATAATATACAATGAGCATTGTATTGTTGAATTCGTCCAGAAACGAACTTGGCGTTGTCACCTCGTAAAACGCCCTTCATTTCACACAGGACCCGTGAAGATCCGGGGTAGAATAGGTCTTCAGCAACCCATGTGCTTGCCATAAAAAGGCGACTATCATGTCGTAAGAGGCGACTAACGGATCGGGTGGTCAGTTTCGCTGACTTGGTTGACACATGTCATCGGTTCCCAATTGCGCAGATCAATGCTCATGCTGTTGATCACTTGATTGTCTGGTCCAGACTCGATTATTTACAGACCGCCGCCATATAGCTGGAATATTGCTGAGTGCGGCGTAAAACTAAACCATTTCACACAGTTAACACCCCGTCAGTAACAATATATACCTTGATACCAGTTTATTTTCCATAACAAAGACTCTGTGGCAAGATTATGGAATGGTTCCTGCATCAAAATGTGTTTCCATGCTAAACTGGTGATGATTGTTTTTCATATATACTCAT